GTACATTTGTGCCTACTTCTATCTGGCGCTGTCCCTTACTCCATTAATAATAAAAATTAATACTTGTTGGTTTTATTTTTTATTTTATGTCAAGTATTAATTATTATTTATAAATTTACTTATTTACTTATTTATTTATTTATTTACTATCTTTTATATATATTATATTTTTATATTTATAAGAAGCCACGCCTACGGCGAAGCAGGTGTTATGATCATCGACCGCAAAATATTTTCATATGCATCACGGGATTTAAAATTTGGAACCAAGTTTTTGATTTGAGGAATGATGATCACACAAATGCTTTAGGATGGCATACAAACAAGAGCCGTATGTGCTCTTAACGTATTTTTCACATACAAAACATAATCTAATATTCGCCTGGCTAGCAGTTTATAGGAGCAAGCCTTTTGCTATGCGCCCAGGAAATCATAAGTACACGAAGGCCACCGCCAACACAATTTTAAATAAATTTTTTGTTATCAAATGATGAATTTTTCCCAATGAATGATTTTACAAAAAATTAAATTTTATTTTACAGTGTAACATATATATAATATATATATATACTCTATTTATAGTTATATATATAAAACATACTAATTAACATATATAACACACACCACACACAACCACCCACAACACACACTACACACACACCACACACACACACACACACAAACTCACACACACACCACACTCGCTCGCGCAGTGTCGTTCAGAAGGCGAGCGCTCGCGAGCGCTCGCGAGCGTTCGGTCTCCTGAACACGCCTCTGGTAACATTAACTGCGTGTCGTGTTTTGTACCCGATTGTAACCATCATTTTGAGAGTCATTATTGCAGTTTTTATAGATTTCCAAAGGATGAAAGTGAAAAGCAACGAAAAAAATAAAAATAATAAAAACAAATTTTTTTTTAATTCATTAAATATTGTAAGATCGACTTGCTACCGATGCTTTACCGCTGTCTGCAGCGCACACACTCGTGTTTTACGTACGCACAACATTTTCACGCAGTTAATGTTATGGAGCCAGTGGCTTGTGTAGAACCAGCCCGTACGTTGTCTTGCCAACGTGACGTCACACTTTGGTACTCGATACACTCTAAATTATGTCCTCAAAATAATATAGTTATTATTTTGAATTTAATTATTCACATAGATTCTAGATAGAACATTACGATGTCTATGATCCATCACCTGCTAGATTACGACGTCTGCGACATTCTAATCGTTCGACCTTGCGTTGTTGGCAGCATGCCAGCTCATTGCGAGATTCGGGCGAGCACAGGAGCGGAGTGTTCAACGTTCTCGTACGTCACTGCTGCGCCGTGTGGCACACCGACGCACGATCCATGCAGCGCCCCCTGCTGCCGGTCGACGCGCGACCCGTGCAGCGCCCCCTGCCGACGGACGAGGGAGCCATGCCACCGCAGCGCCCCCTGCCGACGGACGAGGGAGCCGTGGAGCGACAGCTCCCCCTGCTGGTGGACGCGTGTATGTACGGTCCCGTGCATAAGAAGGATCTGCGGGTGGAGAGCGAGGCGGCGCGGTGCGTGCGCGGCTGGGGCTCTCGCTACCCCCGCGAGCGGGCTCACGACCGGTCGCCACGGCGATGACGACGACGCCCGCTCACGCGTCATGGCGGCCGGCGTCATGATCTCGTTGCCGCCTCCCGCGGCGCGTCGCGCGTTTGCCGAGTTAATGCGACGCGACGACGCCGTCGCGAGAACACACGAACGGCACTTCGCGAATTCCGCCGCTTATATAGACTAGTGAATTATATAATTAATAGTTAATAATAATGAATTAATAATGAAAAGCTAAACCGTAGTTTTTCCGTGAGACAGCATGAGCCACGCTGAGCGAGGGAGGTTAGTGTCACTCTACACAGAAGCCAAGTGGACGTGCATCAGGTTTGCTCTCACACACTGTTGCTGCGGCAATGACGATGACACATCGTGGGATCCGGCGGTGGTCGTCCTGCAACGATGTGTCGACGGTCTAAGCACGGCGTCAGGCATGGCGATCGTATCACTGCTGAGGGTCACGGAAGTTCTGATGCACAGGGTATAAACCTTTTGAAATGTTGATTATGTACAGACAGACCTTTGTTAGTTTTTGACAGACCTCTATGTAATGCCATGAACCCTGTATACATGATAATGATACATGTTCGTGATAACAGACATCTGTCAACACTTTTGCCATTTTCCTTGAGTTATATGCAGGTATGACTGCATATTCCCTTATATGCAGGTTTGACTGTATATAAATTGAAAAACGAGGAAAAAGTGTAAAGTTATAGTGGTTTAGTAGAGTGTATGAATCTGAGCAAATGAGTGTGAAGTTCCTGGTCGTATGTCAGATGTAATCAACTTATACATAATTTCGCATATATGTATCATTAAAAATTTATTTTCAAGCTCAAACAATTTGCGCTCGTCGATTATAATCTAGGTTGATCTCAGCGGCGGAGTAGTAATTGAGGTGGTGACAGCAGCGTGGAACACAGTGCAGGATCAGTGGAGGAACCATGCGTGCTTCTGGAAAATTCTGGAAGCTGCAGTGCCAGTAGTGTTCCACGAGAAATTTATGAGGAGTCCAGACGTGCCTTCTACAATACTGGAGACATTTAACAAGGTATAGCTTTGAAGCACCGGTGGTAGTTATAATAAGTTTGTCTACCCCCTGAAAATATGTATGTATGTGAAGTTCGAATTGATTACTTGCTAGAATATAACATTAAATTCCCTCATAATATATTTTGCAAGAGTTTTGCAGCAAAATTAATCTTAAACTTACTATTGCGAGATTTTTGCTCAGAAAAACTAAATATAGCAGAATATAGTCTCACCTGACAGTGGAAATATCACTGATTACACCAACATTAAAAACACTAAGATTTTATGCAGTAATTATAGCATAGAAAAATGGATTTGACCACATCATACCAGCAATAAATTTTATCGTATGCCGACTCTCAAAATCACAAATGGCGCCTTCAAACCAAGTGCATAATTAAAACAAAAGGGTGTGCAATTCTGTGTGGTAAATATTGAGTTTTTATGTCAATAATTCAGAGCACTTTCTGTCATTGTCATTCCCGTGTTACTATCTGACTGGTAATCCACAAGCTTCTCTAATAACAGACTTTACGCGGCATTAGTACTACACTGCTGTTACGCTAGTATGAACGTCTGTGTATGAACGTCTCTGACCTGATTTCTGCGGTGCGACTATGTGCATTACTGCACCGTGATAGATGTCTCGCCCTACCGTGAGAAAGTCCGAGAGATGGCAACGGTAAACATAAACAGAACGCAAAATTGTAATCGTGCATGATTTGGTGAAAACGAAGGTTCTAAGACATTTTAATCTTACTCTAGACAATTGCTGTTACTCAAGCAATAACGGTAGGTATCATGAAAGTGGGGAAAACACTGGAAAAATCTCGCAATATAGTTACTTTAATATTAATTTTAACACTAACTTTTTCTCCTAATTGTTGAAAGAATTTTAATTCTTAAAGCTATTTAGGAAATTTGCTATGATTTTTAATTCTATTAATTTTTACATTTCTGTCAAAGGTATAAAAGGAAAGTTTCACACTGAGGCTAATGTTAGGACTTTCTCAACTTTGTTTCCTACACACAGGGCCCCTGAACTCTGTGCCTATAGAGTACCGAAGTGATGACGTCACGGTGGTATGACAACGAACCTACTGGTTCTACACAATCATATGCTCTGCTGCGTGTTCAGGAGAGCGAGCGCTCGATGCGAACGCTCGATGAACGAACGCAGCGCCTCCTGAACGATACACGAGCGCTCGCTGTGCGCTCGCTGTGCGCTCGCTTGATCAAAGATGGCGGCCCCCATGAAGGGTTACTCAGCAGATTTTAATTGCGAGAGAACAAGTACTGTTAAACGAATTAGCAGACGAAATTGATACAAATTGAATTTAGAAGTAAATGAATGAATGAAAAGTGAAATAAAGTTGAAATAGATTGCAAATTGACGTCAGAAATGTTAGATTCGCATTCGCCAGATTTTTCGTCGCCATCTTGTAAACAACTCGTGCGCTTGAAGCGAACAGCTTTTCAAACTTGCGCGCAAACGCTCGCTCGCGCTCGCTCGCGCAGTGTCGTTCGAAGGCGAGCGCTGCGAGCGCTCCGCGAGCGTTCGGTCTCCTGAACACGCGCTCTGGTAACATTAACTGCGTGTCGTGTTTTGTACCCGATTGTAACCATCATTTTGAAGAGTCATTATTGCAGTTTTTATAGAATTTCCAAGGATGAAAGTGAAAAGCAACGAAAAAAAATAAAAATAATAAAAACAAATTTTTTTTTAATTCATTAAATATTGTAAGATCGACTTGCTACCGATGCTTTACCGCTGTCTGCAGCGCACACACTCGTGTTTTACGTACGCACAACATTTTCACGCAGTTAATGTTATGGAGCCAGTGCTTGTGTAGAACCAGCCGCGTACGTTGTCTTGCCAACGTGACGTCACACTTTGGTACTCGGATACACTCTAAATTATGTCCTCAAAATAATATAGTTATTTATTGTTGAATTTAATTATTCACATAGATTCTAGATAGAACATTACGATGTCTATGATCCATCACCTGCTAGATTACGACGTCTGCGACATTTCTAATCGTTCGACCTTGCGTTGTTGGCAGCATGCCAGCTCATTGCGAGATTCGGGCGAGCACAGGAGCGGAGTGTTCAACGTTCTCGTACGTCACTGCTGCGCCGTGTGGCACACCGACGCACGATCCATGCAGCGCCGCCCTGCTGCCGGTCCGACGCGCGACCCGTGCAGCGCCCCTGCCGGCGGACGAGGGAGCCATGCCCCGCAGCAGCCCCTGTCGACGGACGAGGGAGCTGTGGAGCGACAGCTCCCCCTGCTGGTGCGACGGCGTGATGTACGGTCCCGTGCATAAGAAGGATCTGCGGTGGAGAGCGAGGCGGCGCGGTGCGTGCGCGCGCTGGGGCGCTCGCTGCCCCGCGAACGCGCTCAATACCGTGTGCGCGCACGGCGGATGACGACAACGCCGGGGGGGGCGCACGCGTCATGGCGGGCCGGCGTCATGATTCTCGTTGCCGCCTCCCGCGGCGCGTCGCGCGTTTGCCGAGTTAATGCAACGCGACGTCCACCGTCGCGAGAACACACGAACGTCACTTCGCGAATTCCGCCGCGCACCGTGCAAGCAGCGTGCGTGGCAGGTGGCGCTGCTGCTGGAGCCGACCTTTGACCTTGGGGAGGAGGAGGGGTCAAGGTCGGAGGTGTTGGGCGTCGGGTGTTGGGGGGCGCTGGTGAAGGACAAGCAGCCGTCGGTGAGGTGCATGATAGAGTGGGTGGCGACGCGACTGCTGTACAGACACCCGGAGTGCTGCTGTGAGATGTGGAGCGCCATCAAAGATGTGAGTAGAATACATAGTGTATGTATATATGATGATATATATATATAGTTAGGTGATGATATATATATATATATATATATATATATATATATACAAATGCTTGTATAGTGTAAATATATAGTGTATGTGTGCATGCATGCATGAATACCATACACTCACTTGTGTTCTATATACAGTATAATTGAAATTAGTTCGATTCTGGCTTGCCACTAATGACCGTAAAGCGAGGACGATTAGTAACAATCAACTTGTACATCAAATTTTAGATTCAGTTGTGTTTCGTAAAATTGCATTGACGTGTAATTTCGTGATTCTTCAACGTGCATGTAATTAAAAGTACGTTTTAATGATTATATTTGACAGAATTCTGAGCAAAGGACTGGCAGCATATGTTCTCTCTTTGCCATCTGCACGCATCTATGCAAGCTCTACGAGGGAAGAAGACTGGAGGAATTCATGGAGTCGATGCTTGTAGAAATCCTTCCATGGACCATGATGCAGCATTTCTCTGTGCGCACTTATGCCCAGGTGGCTCTGTGTACGGTGTGGACGGTTGCCAGGCAACAGAACATGTTGGATTTCTGCGAACGTCATGCACTGTTAGAAGGATGCTTCAACCAGGTTGCCACAGTTGAGAGGTGTGTAGAGAGAAATATAGTGATGTCACAAGTTATGCTGATTGATCGAGTCTCTCACATATATCAGAACTGTTACTAACGTCATGTAGTGCCATATAATTATTTAAAATAAATAAGGTTTTTAGTTGTGATAATAATCAGTAAAAGTCTCAGTAGTAATAATTATTACATGTATGCATTTATGTATTTAGCAATTGGCAAAGAAGTTGACAACACAAATACATACGTATACCGGTACATATATATCAGTAGTTAATGAAGACAAATAAGTTTGTCTTCATTAACTCCTGATATATATATTATATATTAGTTCATATTTTTTATTTACAGCAATTCTACTAAAAGTGTGAAGAAACTCATGGAATCCTTCTGGTTTTCTGATTTCCATCCAATCGCAGACTATAGTATTGAGGTAAGAAATAACCTAGGTTTGGTTTTACTATATATCACCAAAGTTACCATAACCAAGTATATAGTAAAAACAATTTCAGTATATTTAGCTCATCTGACATAGTCAGATGCAGCTTGTAGAATCGCATGAGCGTGCGTCCGTGCGTCCGGCTGTGCGTGCGTCCGGCCGTGCGTGCGTCCGTCAACAGTTGGGCACAAATCTAAACCGCTCGACGTACGGTCACGATATTCGGGACATGGGGGGGTAATCCGAAAACGAGTTGGGGTGTCGAGGCTGGGTGTCAAAGGTCAAAGGTCAAGAGGTGTAAAAGAAGGGGGAACATTCCCTCCTTAACTTAAGGTATAGGGAGGAAATGCAGAATTGCGGCACAAATCTAAACGGCTCGACTTAGGCTCGTGATAGTCAGTGTATAGCATCATGGTGGGAAAGGCCATCACTGTGCCGAAATTGGAGGTCACAGGTCAAAGGTCAATGGGGCACAGGGCAGATTTTAGACATTTTCTGAGGACATGGTCTGACGGAGCGATTGAAAAACTTTTTTGTTTCAGCGGTGACCTAGCATTTTTATGGCTTTATTGAAAGGACCATGAAATGTACTTTCTGCTGACATGCGAAGAGTAAGTGTCGGATAACCTTTTGACCCTCAAGAGGAGGGTTAAACATTGATTTGTTGACTGTAAACAAAGGACTGAACTGCTTTTGCTATTATTAGAGCCCATACGTGTGTGAATGTGAGGCTACAGTTGCACAGTTTAATTGCAAAGGCAAATGTTTGTTGAACAAGGTTTACGCTCCTTAAATCATATTATTTTCTAAAGCAGTCTGTCTATAGCACCCTGAAGGCTGAATCAGTGAATGTTCGCGTGGGTAGGCAAAAACACGGGGCAGCCCATGGCTGGCACGCTTCTAATCATAATTGTTGCCTGCCAACCTGCAATGCACATGTGTCTGCAATGCATAGAGATTAGGTGGGTGCGAAAGTGTAGCTGATATATTTGTTCCAATTGGCTACGAAAGTCAAACAACAATAAAGAAGACTTATGTATAAGACGTCTTGCTATGCACAAATAAATTTATCAGCAGAACACCAGACACCAGATGAGCCCTGTCGCACTGCGGCACTTGTTTATGTGTGGTGTGCAATACTTATGACAACACATTACAATCTGACGCAGGTGGATGATATTTATTCATTATGGAACGTGTCCTATATTTGCATGCAGTAGAATCATCTTTGGTATAAAGTATTCGTGGTTCACAGAATAATTTGGTTGAGCTTATATAATCATATTTGCTTCCATATGTTAAGAATTTGTAGTATGTATGTATGTAATATATGTATGTATGTATGTATGTAAAATTCTACTTTTTATCTTATGTGTTATATATAGGTGATTTTCTATATATTGCCGTGGCTATGTCTGCTAGCCCAGGATGAATGGATCCACCCAGACCTGTTTGCTGACATAAATGGACTCACATGGCTCAGAGGAAATCATTCAGGGGATCTGCAACTATATAGCCCTGACAGTAAACTAAGGACAGCGAAACCTGGAGACTGGAGAACGAAACTAGGTTACTAGTAATTAGTGTTTACTTAGCATTAGTGATCGAGCCGTGTTTGTATTCATCAGCGTACTAGTTTGCTAGCTACTGCATGTTTTGAGCAAACACATACTTTCACTCAGTTTTAAATTATGTTATATATATATATATATATGTATTATGGGATCATAATACTACTATATACTTACATTTACGTAGAGCCATATATTTATGGAGATATATGTACATATCTTTGTAGCAATATGACATATGCATGTATCTCCACCCTGTCCCTCTCTGTCTCTGTCTCTGTCTCTGTCTCTGTCTCTGTCTCTGTCTCTCTCTCTCACACTCTCAGCTCTTCCTCTCTTCCCCCCTCTCTCTCTCACTCTCTGTCTCTCTCTATTTCTCTCTCTCTTTCTCTCTCTCTCTCTTTCTCTTTCTGTCTACCCCCCTCTCTCGCTCTCATCTCTTCCCCCCTCTCTCTCTCTCTCTCATCTCTTCCTCTCTTATCTCTCTCATCTGTCTCTATGCACACAGGCGAGGGTGCGAGAGCCAGTGAGCCGGTCTCGGTCTCGGACCTCGAGGGAAACGTGCAGAAGAAGCTGATTCCGTGGCGCAGCCTGATGCCGGATCACACGGAGGCTGACGTCACGTATAAACGACAGAGCGGCGCGCAGGGCGGGCTGGTGCTGGTCGCTTCACTCATTGACAAGCCCACGAACCTCGGAGGTACAGTTAGAGAACACGCACGCACGCACACACACATGCACACACACACGCACACATGCACGCACGCACGCACGCACGCACACACACCTGTACATGCATACACACATACACACACGCACACACGCACACGCATACACACATACACGCACACGCACACGCACATACACGCGTACACGCACACGCACACGCACACGCGCGCGCACACACACATCTCATATTGCATTCTGACAAGTCATTTTAAACAAACAAGACAGTAAGTTTTTGAGAATACGAGAATCAAAAGATTAAATAGATAAATGTGTAATGAGCTTGATGACTATAGTTGCTCAATAAATTACCTTTTTGTAAGGATATGCCAGATATGTCACATTGCATTCAGTTACTTAACACCTGTAACATTGGATTTCCCTGGTCATCAATTATATATATATATGTGTATGCCTGCGTGCGTGCGTATTTGTACACGTTCCTTCATGCGTGTGTACATGTGTGCGTACATGAGCATGTGTGAAAGTGCATGCATGCGTGTGTGCACGTGGTAACATGTGTGCGTGCACATGCAAATGTGCTCGTGTGTTCGTATTGATATATATGACTAAACTGCAATATTACAATGCTACATATTCACAGACCATGTAATCAGATTTCTTTTTTAGGTTTATGTAGAACGTGTGAGATATTCGGGGTGTCAGAGTACGTCGTTGGAAACATGAAATACGTAGAAGATCCTCGTTTCAAGAGCCTGAGTGTAACTGCAGAGAAGTGGATTCCAATCACAGAGGTACCAACAGATCGATGGTTCACAATTCAGAAACTGGTGTTTTATGTAGACTGGTTACAAGCCATTGTCTGTGTCATTGTCCATGTCATTGTCCATGTCACTGTCCATCCATGTTATCATCCATGTCATTGTCCATGGCATTGTCCTTGTTATCGTCCATGTCATTGTCTGGGTCATTGTCAATGTCATCGTCTGTGTAATTTCCCATGGCATTCTCACATGTATACGTTTATGTTGTGTATCTTAGTCTCATACTTGCTGTGTATTTACCCTGTAATCCAGAGAGATAGCAAAGTGAGTGATTCTTGATGATATCACTATATAGGCTATTATGTCGTTGGCTTGTATAAACAAACGTCCATATACATAGATATACAAACGTGCACAAGTTAAATAAAATAATCTTACTTAAATATTAGCCATATTTTACTTCATAGCCGAATATTCTTAATTATTTACTTATCTTATCTTTGTTGAGATATATATATATTTACCTATGACATTTTCAATCAGTCCCAGGTAAAATATGACTATAAAATGAATATGACTATAAATATGACTATATATATAGATGGATTTTTTAACATCATCAGTACAATAATTAAATAAATATATTTAAATATGCGTGCGTCGGTGTGTGCGTGTGTCCGTGCGTGTGTATGTAATAAGCATTATTGTGTGTGTACTGCAGGTGCGCGTGCATGAGCTGGAGGCGTTCCTACAGCGCATGAGGAGGGAAGGGTACGCGCTCGTGGGAGCGGAGCAGACTGCCAGCAGCACCTCTCTCTGTGACTTCTCCTTCCCGGCAAAGACACTTGTCCTGCTAGGGTGAGCCTCGAATTAAACAACGATGTCTCATTGTCACGATGTCAGTAATGTCACGATGTCAGTAATGCCACGATGTCAGTAATGTCACGATGTCAGTAATGTCACGATGTCAGTAATGTCACGATGTCAGTAATGTCACGATGTCAGTAATGTCACGATGTCAGTAATGTCACGATGTCAAAACTGATAACTTCAGTCAGCTTTGAGAAAGCCTCCTGATAGGAGGCGAAACGTCAGCAGTACGTTTTGATCAACACGGTTGAGTAAAAATTAACCAAGATAGCTTTATTATCTACCAACCGAATGAACTTATTTAATGAGTAACGATGTCTCGTGTTTTATCACACGTCTGAGCACGTGCCGACTTTCCCTGCTCGACAGCAGGCGTCTGTGGTGAAGTTAATATATCTAGGAACACTCGCAAGTTGTTATGTCCACCGAAATGTACTTCTTCATATTAAATGCTCGTTCTTCTGCTCATTCTTCCCGGATGATGATGATGTTGTTAGATACGTAGCAAAGTTGTTAGCAGGATGGTATTCCAATGTAGTTGGATCATCTATACTTACATAATCCATACAATATCTATACATATATACATATACATACATAACACACATCTCTGCATAACGTGTATGTATAGTATTTATGAATGTATCAGAGGTGGATTATGTCTTACAAGCTTACTCTTGCTATATATCGTATATTGTATATTTTATTGTTTTCGATATACATATATTGATTTTATGTAGACATTTTTGTGGTAGGTGTTTAGAGCAGCGTGGCAATGTGCTGTGGGTATGTAGGAGCATGAACGTATACATACAACGTCAGGTATATGACTCAATGTTATTGCATATATGTATGCAATCCGGTATACTTCTAATTAAATAGCATATAAATTTGCTGTAGGTGGGGGCTGGGGATCATAGCAGGGACGAATTAATCACGATAGTCGAATATAGCTCTTCGGCATTTAGAGTTCATGTTGAGTTTACCTTCTCGTTTCGTTTCATCGAGAACTTATTGTAATCCAAATTACTTTTCGTGTGCGGCGGACGCAAAGCCTGGATCAAACAATATCGAAAAATGTTACCGTGGTCATGTCGAAATAATTACGTTGAGAGACTTTCAATGTACTTCTCTTGCAATCCTCACACAACATGAAACTAGAGAACGCGCCTCAGATACACGTCTCAAACACCACGATCGCTCGCACACGTCGCTGTCGATTCTCCCTCACTCTCGGATTTCAAGTTCGGAGACATCGAAACAATACTGGATTTCCCTTCTCAATTCTCTTCTAACCACATAGATCCAAAAATGACGTTTCTCTATTTACCATGGCCTGGACTAGCTAACCCCCCTGGTGTATATATTCGTGCATTCATTGAGGAGAAATCCCTTCACTAAACCATGTTTACTCCATTTTCCTTGTAGAAAACGATTTATATTTGTAATTTATAAGATATTTTATGGTCGTTCAATATGTAATGTAAATGTGTATAGGTGTCTGTAAATATTACATAGTTTTACAAATATATTATTATTATTACTGCTGCTGCTGCTACTGCTGCTGCTACTACTCCTGCTGCTGCTGCTGCTGCTGGTGCTACTGCTACTACTGCGGCTGCTACTGCTACTACCGCTACTATTATTATTATCACCATCATTATAATCATAATTATTATTATTGATGTTGTTGTTGCAGTAATGAGAAGGAGGGGATCCCCGTGAAGCTGATACAGCTACTGGACGCGTGTGTGGAGGTGCCACAGTGGGGCGTAGTCCGCTCGCTCAACGTACACGTGAGTGGCGCCCTCTTCGTCTGGGAGTACACGCGGCAGCACCCGCCGGTGACGACGACGACGGGGTGAGGGCGAGGAGGCGAGAGCGGAGTCTACGTTACTCTCTCTCTCTCTCTCTACAGCTATTACCCGGGAGAGTGGGAGAAGGAAGAGGTATTTATACACTGCCATAACACCTGGTGTGTGCGTGTGTATGTGAGTGTAGGATATTGTCAGCTGTGAACATATTAGGTCTACTCACACACACAGGCACGAACGCTCACACACGCCCATACGCATGCAGGCGCGCACACACGTGTTTGCTCTGCGTGGTTAGCGCTATAGACGTATGTATGAACAAGGAATAGCTTGCGTTGAGTGATGCATCAGTAGTGCCAGGAGTGTCATAATGTAGACATATAGCTATATAGTCTATATCATGACACTCCTGCTAGTATCTGTGACCACATATACACTCTCGTATCTGTATAGACGCATTCATCGTACTATCTACAGTAAATGAGCTCATACTGATAGCATCCCGTGAGAGTGTGGGAGGGTGAGGAGGAGGCGGAGGAGAGGGAGGGTGAGGAGGAGGCAGAGGAGAGGGAGGGTGAGGAGGAGGCAGAGGAGAGGGAGGGTGAGGAGGAGGCAGAGGAGAGGGAGGGTGAGGAGGAGGAGGAGGCGGAGGCGGAGGCGGATCCATGACAGGTGATTGCTGCATCGTGTCTGCCTCCCAAACGTCTGCATTAAACACGGCAGAGTAATCGCAACCATGATGCCAACATGACGGTTCGCAGGCAGTGCATGAAGCTGTCGAGGACGTACGGCAATGAGTATGGCTGAGGTTAGGGTTAGGGTTCTATAACCCATGTCAGTGGTCACCTCTATAGAATGGACACCTGTCTATAAAGGACACCTCTATAGAAAGGACACCTCTATAGAACAGACACCTGTTTATAAATGACACTTTTGTTGATGTCCGTTTAGTGGCAGTTATACGATGAAACCGTCTCTATAAATCTGACAACTGTCTGTGAAGGATTTTTTTTTGGTTTATCACCTGAGCGACCCTGACATTCAGGTTTGACTGCTGCATGTAGATATTTGATAACCAAGAGAACGTCATTGTATCAGTAAAGCTGCTGTGTGAGGTCAGACGATTTTCGGCCTCGTTTGGCGGTGGCTGTGACTGTGTGTACCTGTATGTGACCCTGCGTAAAACTCATACATGCGTCACTGTAAATATAGAATGTTTGCAAGCAGTAATGTGTGCTTATTGCGGCGCAGCCTTCTGTCAAGGCAAACATAGTAAACGTGGCAGCGCGTGTGTTTTATAGGTACATGCCACTTACACGTTCACCTGTTAATATTATTATATATCAGTAAAAAATCTTTACAGTGATGCAGCTTGCTCTTTCTCTCTCTCTCTATCTATTCGAGTTCGGTGTCATTTTAGAAAAAGAAACGTAGTGAATTTTTACTAGTACATGAAACTAAACACATGTAATAACCTTTTGAATTGTAATAATATTATATAAACTTTTTATATTATAATATTATATTAATAAATGTTACAAACGCATACATATCTTATACAATTTTGCTTACCTATAACTAACATGAACTCTGTAGGCCTGGTTGAGTTTGCTAATGCTGAAATAAGAACCTATTATTTCTCATGCTTAACAACTCTCGTAATATGAAATAAGCTGCCAACTTAATGTTATAACCAACGCAAAGCATTTGCAGAATTCACCAGTCGTGTAAATCCATCAAGATAAAACACGACGCCTTACACATAAAATGCAAAAATACGGCGTATAACATCACAGTTATGAAAATCACACAACGTATAAGAACACATTTGCAAAGTGAAGTGAAGAAACTATGCTCACATACATAACAACATGTTGGAAAATCGTTGGATATCTGTAAAAACCGGGTTTTTCCAACACCGTAACCTCAAAGATGGATGACCGCTACACTGGCAACACAGATCGCGCTTCCCTATGTAAAGAATATCGGGCGAAACAAACTATATCACAGCTAGAGAAGTACAGGCCCTATCCAGGCAGACTATCAAGAAACATCTCTCTCTCTCTCTCTCGCTTCCTATCTCTCTCTCTCTCTCTCTCTCTCTCTCTCTCTCTCTCTCTCTCTCTCTCTCTCTCTCTAGGATGTTACCATTCACAAGTTTCTCAGCAGTCTAATATCAGCACCATTTTGCTACAAATATCTAAGCACCGAAAGTTATCTAATTTTGTTTCTGTAAGACACGTTTGCCATACAACCGTACCAGCAATGATGACGGGATGCATACTGGCCTAACCTTCCTAATACTAGACCGCCCTCTCAACACGCTAGAAACTCTGCAACGATGTGTACAAAAGCTATGCACATTGGATCAATGAAGAAGGTCTAATTAACTTGCTTCTAAGCTCATCCTACAGGCCTCAGCAGTGTGAGCATTCAATGGCACTCTGATCCCCCAATTCCCATGTCAATTAATTAATGGCTAAACCTTCATTCACAGTTATATATTATTCTACAAAAGGAAATGTGATGAATTCATACCGAGGAATGCAAGCACATGGACTCGTGAGCCTTTACAATATCACAACAATGATCATTGCATGTAACGTTAAATTGTGCGTATCTATAAGCAACATACAAGTTACATGACAAATTGTAACTTTTACGCACAGTTATGTAGTTGTAAGTTGATACAATCTGTCACTTGTTAGTATTGGAAGGCTGGCTACTTCTGCAGAATTAGTCTCTTCATCAGGCTTGAACGCTATAGAAAAATACTATTCTGGACGTCTTAACATTGCATGGAAGCAGCCTGAAATTCGTCGTACCTGCCACTATATGTATGGACGGAGGTTCAAAAACTACATACAAAGTTTTCTATCGGTTGCAAATATTAGAAAATTATATGGTGCAAAGTTCATCTTGAGTTATTCTATCACAGATTCTATGAGCTTTAGTAGACCATATTATACATATATATGCTTATAATATTTACATACAGGGTGTCCCCCAAGTTATAAATTGAAAATTGACTAATGATAATCCACATTTACAAACAAATCACCATCGTTATTTATTTCAATATATACAAAATGCCTAGGAACCACAAGCTGCACATTCTCTCCTCTCTCTCTCTCTCTCTCTCTCTCTCTCTCCTCTTTCTCTCTCTCTCACACGCACACCGCACGCGCTGGACGGGCGCTACGCGGCGCACACACACACACACACACACACACACACACACACACTTGTTATCTCTCACGTTTAAACGCTCTGTTTTTCTTTGCTTCCCCTCTGCTCCGCTCTCCCTCTTTCTTCTTTTACATACGTTCTCTCTAGATATCGTTCCCCCTCTCTCTTTTCCTATTAATCGATATGTTGGGGTTAACACATTAGCACGGTTTTCTGTTATTGCATTACGAGGGAATTCGTGGTTAATTTTCAGTGTGGAGAGACTATAGATCTGTAATCTTGCCTGTTGTTTGCTTCTTACTCACTCAGATGCCTGTCATACCTTCCCATTGAGAGATTCACCACCTTCAATTCCTTCTTTCCTGCAAACAAAGCGGTAAGAGAAAGTAAGTAAAAAAACTCGTGAATACATGCCGGCTCGTTTAAGAAGGAAGCCATAGTGATTGGTGCAGACACTGACCCATTAGCTTCCGAGTAATACACAACGTGTTTTCTGTAACCACCTAAAATCTAATTTCCTACGCAAACGTGGCACGTAACCCCTGAAGCTGTAAGGAAGAAAGGGACCCCCACCCCCATCAGGGCAATGAATCTTCAATGTCACGAAGGCATGGTCAGAACATGGAATAAGGAAGAAAACACTCGGTAAAATCAAATCAAGAGTTGATCACACTGCATAATCGGGAGGTGATATATAAGGAGGTAAGGAACCTCACGTGCTCTCTACTCTACTGCTAGTTAGAGTTGATATATTGTGACCAAACCCTGAAGCTCGTAAACACAGACAGATAGATCACAATCAGTGTCACCAACACAGTCTTCAATACGATGAAGGCAGTCAGAACCCGGAATAACCAGGAAATACTGGGGAAATAAAATAAACCAGGAATTACTGGGGAAATAAAATAAACCAGGAATTACTGGGGAAATAAACCAGGAATAATTGGGGAAATAAACCAGGAATAACTTGGGAAATAAAAAAGAAATTACTGGGGAAATAAACTTGGAATTACCGGGGAAATAAACCTGGAATAACTGGGGAAATAAACCTGGAATTACCGAGGAAATAAACCAGGAATAACTGCGGAAATAAACCTGGAATTACCGGGGAAATAAACCAGGAATAACTGGGGAAATAAACCTGGAATTACTGGGGAAATAAACCTGGAATAACTGGGGAAATAAACCTGGAATTACCGGGAAAATAAACCTGGAATAACTGGGGAAATAAACCTGGAATTACTGGGGAAATAAACCTGGAATAACTGGGGAAATAAACCTGGAATTACCG